CGACCGTTGTCGCATCCACGCGGTCACGTGATCGAAAATTCAGACATTTGGTTCATATTTATGACAGTCACAGGGCAATTGATTCATATTTATGACGGTCCTGGCGTCCTGGGAATCATGCCTTTTGAGACCTTCTGACAAGCAAAGTCAAGCGGGAAGCCAGATTCACTTAACAACCGTCTTATCGACGCAGCAACCGCAATGTCTCACTTAACAATTGTGGCAAGAAAGGGCGTAAAACGGGACAACGCTCACTTAACAAACAGAATTTTTAGGCTCAATTGTGGTTGTGAGACGAGGGCTAATTGTAAGAACTGAGATCATTATATGCAAATGTTTTTCTTGGCAACTGGAAGATGGGTGAACTTCAACTTCCAGAATTCCTGGCTGGCTGGCTGGGGAATTCTGGGAGTTGAAGTCCACACTTCTTGCTAACGTTGAGAAATGCTCCCTTAGCGTTATATTTATTTATTTATTAATCACATTGATCTGGTTTCCCATCTGATAACACACGACTCTGGGCGGTGTACAACAATCAGTAAAGTGACATATATACACATATTGTTCCGCCAGGCCGGGCTATCAATGTAAAGATTTTAATTGGTTTTAAATGTGGGATTTTAAATTTGGGGGTTTTATAATTGAGCCAATTATTTAATAATTTTAATTATTTTTAAATTTTGTTTGTCTTTGTGCTTTTAATTAGGCTGTACACTGCCCTGAGTCCTTCGGGAGAAGGGCGGTATAGAAATAAAATAATAATAATAATAATAATAATAATAATAATAATAATAATAATAATAATAATAATAATAATATACAGTACAGGCAGTCCTTGATTTACGACCATTCATTTAGTGACCATTTGAAGTTACAACAGCAACTGAAAAAAAGTGGACTCATTACCGCTTTTCACACTTAACGACCTCCCCCGGTCATGTGATTCAAATTCAGACACTTTTGGCAATTGGCTCATATTTATGACGGTTGCGATTGTCCCCGCGGGGGGGGGTATCACGCGATCCCCTTTTGCGACATCCTGACAAGCAGAATCAATGGGGGGAAAGCTAGCTTCGCTTAACGACCTTGTTACCACCTGAACAACTGCCGCGATTCATTGAACGATGGTGGCAAGGAAGGAAGGTCATAAAAACGGGGCAAAGCTCCCTCAACAAGTGTCTCGCTTAGCAAAGGACATTTTGGGCTCCCTTGTGGCCATTAAGTCGAGGACTGCCCGTATTTTAAAAATAAACCAGTATCATCTCTTCATAATCTCTTAATCCACATATTTAGTTTACCATTTGCCTTAATTACTACTTAATTTCTTATCTTTAATTTTTATCTTCTCATTTATTTCCATATCTTTTTTTCTTTCTGATGATGTACTAGGAATATAGATATGAGAGATATGTTAGAAAAAAGATAAAGAGAAAAGGTATAAATAAAAATACAGATTACCGATGGGACAAATTGAAAAGAAGATGTAAAGGTTTGATTTTTTTTTTTGTTTATTTGTTCTGTATGTTTTGTTGTTGTCTGTATGTTTGCGTGTACTTTTTTAATAATAAAAATTTTGGGGGGGGGAAAAAATAAAAATAAACCCAATATTTTATTCGTCAAGTTGATAGGATATCTATTTTTGTGAATCACGTGGCTATTATGACAGTTGTTTGGAGGAGAAAACCGGTCCCGAACGGCACGCCAGAGTTCCCACGAGATGGTCGTAGGATTTTGCTCTGCTACATCCACCCAGTCCTCAATTCTATGTGGTTGGTCGGGCTGTGGGTTTTCCTCTTTTGATACGAACATGGATGGCAGGAGGATGCTTCCCATTTTAAGCTAAGGAATTTGGCTTCTCGGGGGATGACATCATTGGATTTATTAGGGAATCGCCAACAATTTATAATTTCCCAACTTGGTGCACGATTGCCCTCTGCTGGCTGCCCTTTTATCCTCCTTTTAAAAACAGAACAACGGGATAAGAGTGATGGAAGGGGCACCTTGGAGATCTTCTGGTCCAACCTCCCAGCTAGACCAGGGGTCTCCAACCTCTGCAACTTTTAAGACTTGAAGCTGGCTGAGGAACTCTGGGAGTTGAAGTCCACAAGTCTTACAGTTGCCAAGATTGGAGACCCCCTGCCCTAGACCCTTTCAGACAAGTGGCTGTTCAATCTTGTCCTTCAAAATTACTCGCGTTGGTGGGAGCACCCACAAGTTTTGGAGACAAGCTGCTTGCTCCTTCCTTCCTTCCTTCCTTCCTTCCTCCCTCTTTCTCCTTTCCTTCCTTCATTCCATTCATCATCCATCCAGCCAGCCCTCCTTCCTGCTTCCTCTCTCCTTTCTTCCTTCCTTTCTTCCTCCCTCCTTCTCTTTCCTTCCTTCATTCCATTCATCATCCATCCAGCCCTCCTTCCTCTTTCCTCCCTCCCTTTCTCCTTTCCTTCCTTCATTCCATTCATCATCCATCCACCCCTCCTTCCTCTCTCCTTCCTCCCTCCCTTTTTCCTTTCCTTCCTTCATTCCAGTCATCATCCATCCACCCCTCTCCTTCCTTCCTTCCTCCCTCCCTCCTTCTCCTTCCCTTCTTTCATTCCATTCATCATCCATCCACCCCTTCCTCTCTCCTTTCTTCCTCCCTCCCTCCTTCTCCTTTCCTTCCTTCATTCCATTCATCATCCATCCACCCCTCTCCTTCCTTCCTCCCTCTTTCTCCTTCCCTTCTTTCATTCCATTCATCATCCATCCACCCCTCTCCTTCCTTCCTTCCTTCCTCTCTCCTTTTCCTTCCCTTTTCATTCCATTCATCATCCATCCACCCCTCCTTCCTCTTTCCTCCCTCCCTTTCTCCTTTCCTTCCTTCATTCCATTCATCATCCATCCACCCCTTCCTCTCTCCTTCCTTCCTTCCTCCCTCTTTCTCCTTTCCTTCCTTCATTTCATTCATCATCCATCCACTCCTCCTTCCTCTCTCCTCCCTCCCTCCCTTTTTCCTTTCCTTCCTTCATTCCATTCATCATCCATCCACCCCTCTCCTTCCTTCCTTCCTCCCTCCTTCTCCTTCCCTTCTTTCATTCCATTCATCATCCATCCACCCCTCCTGCCTCCTTCCTTCCTTCCTCCTTCCCTCCCTCCAACTAACCTACCTATCTACCTACTTACAGTACCTAGTACCTACCGTCTGTCTGTCATGTATTTTATCTATCTCAGAATCATAGAATCAAACGCTCGGAAGGGACCTTGGAGATCTTCTAGTCCAACCCCCTGCTCGAGCAGGGGATCCTATACCATTCCTGACAAGTGTCTGTCCAGTCTCTTCCTAAAAACCTCCAGTGCTGGAGCACCCACAACCTCTGGTCTGAACATCTGGCTGACTTCTGCAACCAGCCCTAATAATGCACTAAACTTTTCTGTCGACAATTCTGAGCAGCTCACAACAATCCACCAAAAATGTTTGCTGATGGTTTGGAGAACTCGTCTACCACATTTCTTCAGTTGGCATCATCTTCCTTTTCCATGCCAACCTGTAACATGATCCCTCTCCTTTTTTGAAATTAAAATGCGAGCGTTTAAAAATAAGCCGGGGGTTTATTCGCCAAGGCTGTGCAGTTCCTCCTCCTGGAAGTGTCTACTGCGTTGTGACCCAGGCCCACGTAGGTAGTATTAAATACAAACAGTTCCAAAACAAACAGACTTTATTAGAACAGCTGAGAATTAACTCATTCTCCGCGTAGTCCAAACTAAATTAAAACAAACTGTTCATAACACAAATTCTTCAGTCTAATCACCAACCTGGGTATAATTAGGCCAACTGCCAAAGGCTTCTCTTGGCAAAAGTTCAAAAGCAGAAGACACCGACAAGAGATAAGTGCAGCAAGACGATCAACGTTGTTTTCCGACAAAGAGCCCAAGAGCCGTTGCTGGTCTTTTTAAGCCTTATGGGAGGAGCCAATCATCTCCAGGCCTTACTCCTGAGTCGTCCTTTTTGCTTGAGCTGCTCCTGCCTTCTGGCAGCTCTTCTCATGCGCGCACTAGGAACAGGCTCCTCCTGTTCCTCTGCCTCTCTGCTGTCAGCCTCTGGAGGCTCCGGAGTCCGCACATCACTCCCCGATGGCCCTGGCCCCATCTCTGCCTCCGATACAGAGTCCTCCTCTGGGCCTTCCCCAGCCCCCAGGACTGGCCCCTGTTCTTCCTCAGCCTCCTCACTGTCCGACTCCGTTGCCAGCTCCGTAGGCTGCTGGCGAACCACAACATATTGTTCCAAATAATGCCGCAATCTGCCTTAAGCAAAGATGGTTGGGTTTCAAAATGTAGAGGAGAAGCAATACTTCAAATATGTTGGCGAGGAAAACTGTTTACGCATGCACAAAATCTGCAGTGCTAGCGTAAACATGTGTCATGCCACGGGGCGTTATTTGCAAGCATCTGGGCTTAAGTCTTGCTGAACAAACGTTAAGCTGTTCAGCAAACGTTTTTGCTCTCTCGAAGCGATCGTCAACGTTGCGCTGGGCAGAGAAACAAAACGAATCCATAAAACTGCAGAGTTTGCTTAACAAACGCCGACTTACTTAACGACGTTACAACGGAAAATGACTTAATGACCGTTTTTCACATGAGCGTCGCAACCTCCCTGCGGTCACGAGATCAGAATTCTGCTGCTTGGCCACGGACTCATATTTACGATGATGGGGGCGTGTCCCGGCAGTGGTGTGATCACCTTTTGCGACGAACAAGGTCAATGAGGAAGAGGGATTCACTTTGTAACCGTGTTACTAACTTAACAATGGCAGGGATTCACTTAATAACTGAGGCAAGGAAGGTTGTAAAATGGGGCAAAACTCACTTAACAACCGTGCCGCTCGGCAATAGAAATTTTGGGCTCTGTTGTGGTCGTAAGTCGAGAATTACCTGTATAATTTCCCCCACCTGTCCGTGAATGCTAATATTCATCATGTTTGAAGTCAAAAATAGATTTAAGAAACAACACGTGGATTGGAAAAGTCTCATTCATACCTAAAACTATATTTATTAAGTTTATTATGGCTTCATATGCATAACACCCATAAATACACCAGAAGACTCTGGACCAATGACTCTCAATCTTGGCAGATTGTAGGTGCACGAATTTCAATTCCCAAAATTCACCAGGCAGCATGCTTTAAGATATATGGATTTCAACTCCCAGAATTCCCCAGCCAGCATGCTTTAAAGGCAGATGGACTTCAAGTCCCAGAATTCCCTAGGCACCATGCTTTAAGACAGGTGGACTTCAAGTCCCAGAATTCCCCAGCTAGCATGCTTTAAAATGGGTGGACTTCAACTCCCAGAATTCCCCAGCCAGCAGGTTTTAAAATGTGTGAATTACAGATGTTAAAACAGGTAGTCCGCGACTTACAATTACTTGTTTAGTGCCCATTCTGAGTTACAATGGCACTGAAAAAGTGACTTATGTCTATTTTTCACACTTACGACCGTTATAGCTTTCCCTACAGTCACGTGATCAAAATTTGGACGCTGACTCGTATTTATGACGGTTGCAGTGTCCCGGGGTCATGTGAACCTATTCTGAGACCTTCTGACAAGCAAAGTCAAATGGGGAAGCCTGATTCACTTAACAACGATGTTACTCATATAATAACTGCAGTGATTATGGAACAACTGTGGGAATAGATTCACCAACGTGGAGGTGAACAATCACGCCATTGCCAGGCGACGCTAAAGCATTTCACCAATGCTCTCTTTGCGGCAGCCACGCTGGAAAGGAGACCACCCAGTAACTCTCTCCCAGCCGCAGTCTTAAAAATTCTATTTACATTCCATCGAGGAAAAAAGTCACATGGGTTTCGAACCAGGGTCGCTTGAGAAAAGCTGAACATTGTAGAGTGATGATTTGGTGAGACACACCCAAAATTCCCCAAATTTGGGGGGGTGGGCACCTGAAAGTCCTGGGATTGGGGTCCTTGGAGGCCACTCATTGACGGTAAGAGAGGAATTCGACGAATTTCGTGGGGATGTGGAGGTGGGGGATTTTCTCCAGAGCTTTTTGGCCGAGAGCGTGACGTAGGCTGAGACGACAAAGCTGAGATAGCCGCAGTGGATTTCCTGGTGGGTTGGGAGAACGGAAAAAGACATTAGAGATGTCTCTTCTTAAACTATATTTATTAAGTTTATTATGGCTTAATAAACACCTCCAGTGATAAAGCTCCCACAATTTCTGGTGGCAAGCAGTTCCACTGGTTAATTGTTCTCCCTGTCAGGAAATTTCCTCTCATTTCCAGGTTGAATCTCTCCTTGATCAGTTTCCATCCATTATTCCTTGTCTGGCCTTCAGGTGCCTTGGAAAATAGCTTGACCTCTTCCTCCTCTCTGTGGCAGCCCCTCAAATATTGGAAGATGCTCTCCTGTCTCCCCTGGTCCTTCTCTTCACTAGACTAGCCAGGCCCAGTTCCTGCAACCGTTCTTCGTATGTTAAATGACATTAAATGACGTTAGGGCGGTATATAAATTTAATAAAACAAACATAAAACAAACATAAATTGCAATTATATACTAGCTAAATCACGGGTGTCCAACCTTGGCTGCTTTAAGACTTACGGACACGCTGTAACAGCAGCGAGGATTATATTCGCCCAACATTGGAAAAAGGAAGAAACATCGCGAGATAATTAAGAAGATAACTGTGCAGAAATGGATAAATTGACATTGAAAATTAAGCAGAAAGAAAACACACAGAGAATACTATCAAACATGGAATTTATTTTACCAGTGGTTGGCAAAAAGGGATGGAAATTAAGAATGCAAATGTCTATTGTTAAGCAAAATTGAGCCTTGGTAGTACAGTGGCCTGTTATTAAGCTGGTTATTAAGACCAGCTGCCTGCAATTACTGCAGGTTCGAATCTCGCCAAGGCTCAAGGTTGACTCAGCCTTCCATCCTTTCTAAGGTAGGTAAATTGAGGACCCAGTTTGTGGGGGCAATAAGCTGATTTTGTATAAATATACAAAAGGATGAAGGCTATTGCTTAGTGCATTGTAAGCCGCCCTGAGTCTCCGGAGAAGGGCGGCATATAAATCAAATTAAAAAAAAAAAAATTAAATACCCAGCCAACAGAATGTTTATTAAGCACTAAGAAATGTAATTAATAAAAAGTCAATAAAACTTTATTAAGAAAATGTGGGCTTTAACTCCCAAAATACCCCATAATAATGAGGAGGATTGCAGAATGGATTGCAGGATTTGGGTTTGGCTAATCTAGAGAAAGGAAGGACTAGGGGGGACATGATAGCAGAATTCCAGCATTTAAGGGGCTGCCCCAAAGAAGAGGAGGGAGTCAACCTATTCTCCAAAGCACCTGAGGGCAGGACAAGAAGCAACGGATGGAAACTCATCAAGGAGAGAAACAACTTGGAATTGAGGAGAAACTTCCTGACAGTCAGGACAATTAACCAGTGGAACAGCTTGCCACTGGAAGTCGTGGGTGCTTCATCACTGGAGGCTTTTTAAGAAGAGACTTGACAGTCACATGTCTCAAATGGTATAGGGTCTCCTTCTTGAGGAGGGGCTGGACTAGAAGACCTCCAAGAACCCTTCCAGCTCTATTCTGATATTAATCTTCTCATCGTTCCCACTACCCATCTCTTCCCACTTATGACTGTATGACTATAACCTTGTTGCTGGTATCCTTACGATTTATATTGATATTGTTTCCTGATTTGCTTATTTGTTCCCTATGACTATCATTAAGTGTTGTACTTTATGATTCTTGATGAACGTATCTTTTCTTTTATGTACACTGAGAGCCTATGCACCGTAGACTAATTCCTTGTGTGTCCAATCACACTTGGCCAATAAAGAATTCTATTCTGTTCTGTTCTGTTCTGTTCTGTTCTGTTCTGTTCTGTTCTGTTGTTCTATTCTATTCTATTCTATTCTATTCTATTCTATTCTATTCTATTCTATTCTATTCTATTCTATTCTATTCTATTCTATTCTACTCTATTCGCTTAATAAACGTCGTGTTGTCTGGGTGTTTAATTTGCTTAACGACGATTCTGATTCCTGACTTGACCTAACACACTCCTGTCTGAGACAGACGAAAGAAAGACCAATTTTTTTGCTCACGTTCATAATAGGCAAAGCATTTTGCTGTTAAGCTGTTCCTCTGGCTGTAATCGGAAGGTTTTTTGCCTCGGTTGTCCCGAGCGTAAACGTTGCCTCCGAATTCAATCAGCATCTCCGCCAGGTCGGCGTTTCGCACTTTGGCGGCGTGATGGAGGGCCGTCTCGTGAAGTTTGGCTGCGTTCACGTTGGCTCCTGGAGGTCGGGATGGGAAGATCAGGTCAGAAATTCATTCCAGACAAGTCCTCAACTTACGACGGTTCGTTTAGCGACCGTTCGAAGTTGCAACGGCACGGGGAAAAAAACCAGTGACGTAGGACCGTTTTTCATACTTACGACCGTTACAGCATTCTCAGGCTTCCATTCGGAAGCTTGACAACTGACTCATATTTATGACGGTTGCGGTGTCCCTGAGGTCACGTGATTCCTCTTTTGCGACCTTAGTCAACGGGGAAGCCAGATTCACTTCACAATCGTGTTGCTAACTTTATCAACTGCGGTGATTCACTTAACGACGGTGGCAAGGAAGGTCATAAATGGGGCAAAACTCACTTAACAAATGTCTCGCTTAACAACAGAAATTTTGGGGTCAGTCGTGGTTGTTAAGTCGAGGGCTACCTGTATTTTGAAGCTCTATGGGTTGTCCTCATCTTACAACCATTCGTTTAGGGATTGTTACCGGTAAAAGTTATTAAAAGCAGACTCCATGTGGATAATACCAGCAATTCAGGCCCAAGTCCTGGCTGTGTAGTGTCTCACTTAATGACCACGGCTAAAATAGGTTGTAAAATCGGGTTCAGTCACGGGATGCCTCATTTAACGACCGCACCGCTTAAGGACAAGTTTTACAGTCCGTGTTGCGGTCGTAAATCGAGGACCGCTTGAATTTAAGGCAAGGTTTGCTGGTTAGACTAATTGCTCATTAGACTAAGGCAGGGGTGAAATCTAATATTTGTTACTACCGGTTCTGTGGGCGTGGCTTGATGGTGGTGGGGTAATGTGACTGGGTGGGCGTGGCCAACTTTTTTTTTTTTTAACTTTTAAAAGCATTTTTTCTACAACCTTAAGAGGTTGCAGAAAAAAAATGCTTTTAGAAGCCTCTGACGATCAGGCAAGACAGCTGGGATCGTCAGAGGCTTTTAAAGCATTTTTTTTCCCTACAATCTCTTTGGCTGAAGAGGTTGCAGTAAAAAATGCTTTTAGAAGCTTCTGACGATCAGGCAGGTCAGCTGGGATCGCCAGAGGCTTTTAAAGGCATTTTTTTTCCCTACAACCTCTTCAGCCGAAGGGTTTGCAGAAAAAAAATTCTTTGAAAAGCCTCTGACGATCCCAGCTGAGCCGCTCGATCATCAGAGGCTTTTTTTTTTAACTTTTAAAAGCATTTTTTCAGCTAAGAGATTGCAGGAAAAAATGCTTTGAAAAGCCTCTGACGATCCCAGCTGAGCCGCTCGATCATCAGAGGCTTTTTTTTTTTTTTTACTTTTAAAAGCATTTTTTCAGCTAAGAGGTTGCAGGAAAAAAATGCTTTTAAAAGTTAAAAAACCAGCTTCTGATGATTGTGCAGCCGCCATCGCTACCGGATCGGGCGATCCGGTCCGAACCAGGAGCATTTCACCCCTGGACTAAGGCAGGATAAAGCTTTGACACCTCTCCCCCCACAAACAGGTTGTGTTTGGAGACTAGCCCAGGTAAGGGGTACCTGAACAGGTTGGCTCTCCTGGTTTCAATCCAGCATTTCTCCCCACCATTGCTCGGTGTCCTAGCAGCTGCTCACCTGCATTGAGCAATAGCTTCGCGCAATCGAGGTGTTCTCCCGCGCACGCCACGTGCAACGGCGTCCCAAAATGGCAGTCGTGGGCCTCCAGGTTCGCCCCAACCTCGATCAGCAGACGGACACACTCGGCGCTGCCTTAGAAACAGAGACAGATCAAGGATCATCATTTTTATTTTTATTTTTTTCAAAAAAAGTTTTTCTTTTTATTTCTCATTAACACATTTACAGACACAATCATTTATCCATCATTTATCCGAACCGGCTGAATCCCAGCCCTGTACCTTACCATTTAAGCAGGCTTCGTGGAGAGGCGACGCGATGTACAATGGCGGGTTGACCTTGGCCCCGTGCGAGAGGAGGACTTTCACACACTCAATGCTCCCCGAGGCGCAAGCGTCGCACAGCGGGGTGCTCCCGTCGATGTTTCTGGCGTCTACCTGTGGCAGAAAGCGACCGAACCCTCAACCAGCGGTCTGTGTTGGTTCACCTCTCTACGATTTAGTCATTTTTTTTTTAAAAAAATTGCACCTTGTACAGGTAGTCTTCGATTTACGTCCACAACGGAGCCTAAAATTTCCATTGCTAACGACAAGAGTTGTTAAGTGAGGTTTGCCCCCATTTTACAGGCAGTCCTCGACTTATATGACAGTTCGCTTAGTGACCGTTCAAAGTCACAAGGGCACTGAAAAATGTGACTTAGGACCGTTTTTCAGAGTTATAACCGTTGCAGCCTCCCCCTCTACCCCCGACGATCAAAATGCAGATGCTTGGGAAACTGACTCGCATTTATGACGGGTGCATTATCCTGGGGTCAGGTGATTCCCTTTTTGTGACCTTCTGACAAACAAAGCCTCCTTCCTACCTACCTTCCTTCTTTCCTTCCCCCCTCCCTCCCTCAGTCTCCTTCCTTCCTTCCCTTCTCCTTCCTTCCTTCCTCTTTCTCCTTCCTTCCTT